GTCTATAGCTGAAATCATCCATTGCAAAGCAGTAATTTTGCCATCTACAAGTAAACCCAAGACAAAGTACAGTTTTTATAACTGAAAGAAGATTCCTGAAATTGTTATCTTCTAAACTTTTGCAATAGAAGTGCAGTCTCAGTTGTGTTACTTCTATTTGATTATTATCTTTTACCTCCACTTCATTATGAATCACAGCATGATGCAGTGGTGTTCGGGCATGTTCATCCTGGATATTGATTTGAATGTCAGGTTGGCGAAGCAGTAATTTTACTATCTACAAGTAAACCCAAGACAAAGTACAGTTTTTATAACTGAAAGAAGATTCCTGCAATTGTTATCTTCTAAACTTTTGCAATAGAAGTGCAGTCTCAGTTGTGTTACTTCTATTTGATTATTATCTTTTACCTCCACTTCATTATGAATCACAGCATGATGCAGTGGTGTTCGGGCATGTTCATCCTGGATATTGATTTGAATGTCAGGTTGGCGAAGCAGTAATTTTACTATCTACAAGTAAACCCAAGACAAAGTACAGTTTTTATAACTGAAAGAAGATTCCTGCAATTGTTATCTTCTAAACTTTTGCAATAGAAGTGCAGTCTCAGTTGTGTTACTTCTATTTGATTATTATCTTTTACCTCCACTTCATTATGAATCACAGCATGATGCAGTGGTGTTCGGGCATGTTCATCCTGGATATTGATTTGAATGTCAGGTTGGCGAAGCAGTAATTTTACTATCTACAAGTAAACCCAAGACAAAGTACAGTTTTTATAACTGAAAGAAGATTCCTGCAATTGTTATCTTCTAAACTTTTGCAATAGAAGTGCAGTCTCAGTTGTGTTACTTCTATTTGATTATTATCTTTTACCTCCACTTCATTATGAATCACAGCATGATGCAGTGGTGTTCGGGCATGTTCATCCTGGATATTGATTTGAATGTCAGGTTGGCGAAGCAGTAATTTTACTATCTACAAGTAAACCCAAGACAAAGTACAGTTTTTATAACTGAAAGAAGATTCCTGCAATTGTTATCTTCTAAACTTTTGCAATAGAAGTGCAGTCTCAGTTGTGTTACTTCTATTTGATTATTATTTTTTACCTCCACTTCATTATGAATCACAGCATGATGCAGTGGTGTTTGAGCACGTTCATCCTGGATATTGATTTGAATGCCAGGTTGGCGAAGCAGTAATTCTACCATCTACAAGTAAACCCAAGACAAAGTAGAGTATTCATTAATCATAAGTGATTGAGTGCCAGTACTCTCCCTTTGAAGAGTAAAATTGTCTGGCATTAGACAAAATAAGATAAAAAAGTAGTGCGAAATGCGAAATATGAGATGTATTAAAAAACTGATTTATAAGCATGCACTAACCTATTTCTAATAGTTAAAATAAGGATTATTAAAGCTGGCTTGGCTGCCATAGTCAAAGTGCTAATAATGGCCAACAAAAAGGTGCGATGCTGAAAATAACACCACTTGCAAAACATCAATTTATTCAATAAATGTTCTAGAAGAAATAAACAAGGACTAAAGGCTGAGGATAAATAACAATATCTGGAATTTAGTACAGATTAGGGACTGTCAAAATGTTTTATAGTATATCTATTCAGAGTTGAAGATCAAATTATGCTTCGGCACATCCAACGTTTTGCCATTTTTTTCAAAATACAAAACTAAAACTCCTGAAATAGATGTAAAACAGTCGGAACACAAGGTTTGAATGCCAATCATTAAAATCTTCCCATGGAAAAATTCTCCTCAGTGCTTTTGAACGTTGATTTTCCAATTACTATTAAACAATTATTATACAAGGAGGATAAATGTAAAACGTGTTATCCAGAAATTCTTAATCTTAAAAGTGTTCATTGCTGAGAGTAAATTTAGCGGGAGCCGGGAGGGGAACTTCTTTCCTCTAAAAACGATTACTAGAATATCTTAATGATGCACTGATATTTTCGTATAGTATTTTCGTAAATCGTAAATCAAACTCGGGTCTTTCTCATAGGCTTCAGTTTCAGTTGTATATTATTGCTGCCGAAAGCAGCACACTATTCTTGATGTGTTTTTCTCGCACCAGTCCGTTTCCGGCTCGCGAGTTATGTGGATTCAACAAGTCATTTTTGGGAATCTTGTACGGATGATCAGATTTAAGACGTATTTTGACGTCACAGAAATTTTACTGTAAAAAATAACATACTCCAGATCGCGATTTGACTTTCCGAATACCCTGGTTGAACTCGCGAACACCACCATGGACCATGACAATTTGTAAACATGTTTACATGTACACATTGTGTCGCAAATTTTTTGTCTGGACTCTGGCTGTTTGTCGAAATATTTTTCAAGGTAAGATAAAAGTTTGATCACAAATAACAATGAGTTTTGGTCGATACGCGTTGAAACTTGAAGCGAATGAATTGACTACAAGTCTTCATATAAACAAGTGTGTAGCTCGTCGATTGTAGCATTCATAGGACATAGGCTTGATAGAACATCATACTTCAAGGTATAAATAATGACAGTGATAGTTTATTATTAATATTGTTATTATGGGAATATAAATTGAGCAGTATCTTGCCCGCATTGGAATACACAATTGTATACGAATGAAAAATTACAGTAACTCACTTGCACGAAGATATTCCTATATTAGCAACCTAGTGTGGAAACTTAATTATTATTATTATATTTATATTTATCCAGGATACCCACGTCACCGAAGTGTTTTTCAGTGGGGTCCTGCATTATAAATTTCAACTTCAATATACATATACATTACAAAATAACATGCAAATGTACAATAACATGCGTTAACATACTTATACTATATATAGCCTATATTCAAAACGTAATGGAACTAAGACTATGTTTACTATTTAATTCTCGCCTACACAGCATTTTTTAATAGAGCTTTAAACTTGTATAACGAGTTGGCGTTTCTAATGTCTGGTTCTAGGTTGTTAAAGTCTTTTGATGCTTGGTAGCTTGGTCTTTGTTTTCCCTTGTTTGTGTTCGTCTTTGGGAGGTGGAGGTCGTTTTTTCTTCTTGTGTAATGGCTGTGAATGTCTTCGTTCTTCGTTAATTCAAATTTAAAGTCAATTAAATCATTTAAACATTTATAAATAAATATACATCTATGGTTATGTCTTCTAGTTTTAAGTGTTGTCCATTTTAGTCGTCGTAGGGCTTCCGTTGCAGAATAGCGTGGATGTTCATCTAGGATCAGCTTTGCAGCTTTGTTCTCTAAAGTTTGAAGGGAATCCATCAGCACCGAATTGTTCTTATCACCCCAAATGGTATCAGCATAATCAAACAGTGGCAGTATTAGAGACGTATAAAGAATATAACGTGTATCCAAGTCCAAGAAATCTTTGATGCGTCGTAGAACACCAAGTCTCTGATTAATTTTGGAGATCATTTTGTCAATATGCTCGTGCCAAGATAAATCTTCACTAAAAGTAACTCCAAGATATTTCATTGATTTCTCCTGTGATACTTTTTCGTTCTGAATCGTGATGTTTACATTGATAAACGACTGCTTTCTGTTGGTAAAGATCATGAACTTGGTTTTCTCGTAGTTTAAAGTTAGGAGATTGTTATTTAGCCAGTGTGAAAGTGATTGTAAATCAGCGTTTATTTTAGCTTCAAGCTCCGTTGTTGACTTTGCAGAGTAGTACAATAATGTATCATCAGCATAAAGAATCGACTTACAGTTATTAAGACATTGAGGCAAGTCGTTAATGAATATCAAGAAAAGTAACGGGCCCAATATGCTTCCTTGCGGCACACCAACGGTGACTGGCCTTGCACTCGATGTTGAATTGTTGATAGATGTGACTACTGTACGTGATGACAAATAGGACGTGAACCAGTTAATGACAGACTTTGAAAAACCAAGATTTCTTAATTTCAAAATTAGCAGCTTGTGATCTACCGTGTCAAACGCCTCTCGCAAGTCGATAAAAACTGCACCGGTAACCAATTTATTGTCGAGATTGTGCAATATTTCCTCAGTGAGTTGTGTCAAAGCAATGCTTGTGGATAACTTAGGGCGAAAACCAAATTGTTCTGAGGTGATTAGATCATGCTCTTGCAAGTACTCATACACTTGTCTGTGAACTATGCGCTCCATTATTTTACTTACGATTGGTAAAATAGTTATAGGTCTGTAATTATTAGGAGATGTTGGGTCATTGGATTTGAAGAAGGGAATAATCTTGCCTTTTTCCAAATATCTGGGAATGTTTGTGAAACGAACGAGGCATTAATTATCTTTGTTAGACCAGATGCTATAATAGAGGAGGAATCTTTTAGTAACTTTGCGCTGATTTGATCTAGACCGGTGGCTTTATTTGTTTTAAGAGATCCGAGCTCTCGAAGAATGAAGGACTCGTCTACTTCTTTGAACTCGAAACTGTACGGTAGATCAGAGGATAGCGGTTGTTTTTTAAGTTGAAATGTACTCTTAATCTTATCTGCTAGTTTTCTTTCAATAGATGTGAAATACTCGTTTAAAATTGTTGCTATGGATTTTTGGTCAGTGATGGGTTTTTCTTCAGAGATTATACATGACGGGTTTGTACCAGATTTACTGCGAGATGTTATTTCATTTAATGTTTTCCAAAGTTCAGAGGGATTATCCTTATTAGCGTTCACGGAATCTTGATAGTACTTAGATTTTGCTAGCTTAATTTGGTTGTTAATATAATTTCTGAGTTCTCGAAACTTTTGCCAATGATATTCGGAGTTCGTTTTATGTGCTTGTTTCTGGTGGTAATCACGCTCTCGCATTAATTCTGTAAGTTCCGATGTGATCCAAGGAGATTTGCTCGTGCATTTAACTCGTCTGGTTTTAATGGGAGCGTGTTTGTCTGCAGTTTCGGAAAATTTATTGCACCAAGTGTTTACTGCGTCATTGATATCAGTTATCGAATCCAAGAATGACCAACCAACGTTCTCAAGATCGCGATTAAACCTTAGTTTATTGTATTGTTTGTAGCAACGATAGTTTATGTCGCGGAAATTTCCACCTGATTTAGCAACACCTGCTTTAATTACACAAAATATCAAGGAATGATCACTGAGATCCAAAGAAAAAACTCCGCTTCCTACCACGCGATGAGCATTGTTTACGAATATAAGATCGATTGTTGATTGATTTAATTGCGTTATTCTAGTTGCCGACGTGATGAGCTGTTCGAAAGAAAACGCACGCGCAAGTGTTTGTAGTCGTGATCTGGCCGTTGATCTTCGTTGGTAATCGACATTAAAATCGCCCAATAACATTACTTCAGCATTTTCTTGAATTTCAGATATATCGTTGTTGAGTTTATCAATGAATTTCTCAATATCAAAATCAGGTGGTCTATAAACTGAAGAAATAATACGGTCAAGAATAGTAGGTTGGAGTTCTTCCTTCCATAACATCATGAACGTATCTTTGTTTAGGGAGCGGTCATTAATTATTGGGGGGGGGGGAGGGCCGGTAAATTTAGGGGGAGGGCTACCATTTTTTGGACCCCCTTTTGGGGAGGGCCAAATATTTTTGTGCCCATCTAGAAGGGAGGGCCACAAATATTTGGGCAACTATTTCAGTAAAAAAAGTTATATTTCAATTACCAATTCAATGGGCCCGTACACGGATAATGAATGAAAGCTTCCATGCAGAGATAATTAAAACGAAATTTATTTCACCAACACCAGAACAATTTCTTTCACCAACGATAATAAATCATATTTTATACATGTAATGTCAAGTATAACAACTAGTTGATACTCATATATTTCCTCACTTGCCAAGCCTGTAAAGTTCATTGCTAATTTCAGCAATATGGTGTACATTGTTTCATGTCAATAATATGCGGTACAATAAAATCTAACAAACGGAAATCTTACAAATATATGGTCTGTAGTATAAAAACATATACGTGATCAGTCTGAGTCACATATTGGTTCAGGGCATTTTTTAACTATATAACTGGGGGGCCAAAGCCCCCCCCCCCCAGCTCCCATGGTGGCCCCCCCACTCAACCATTTTGGCCCCCTAGTCAAAGTCCCGTTTCTCTAAAATATAAGCAAAACATTGAATTTAGAAGGGAGGTTTGATATTCTAGTAACTGAAATTTGCTTTGTGAATCTTATGTCCTGTCTTTTATGTTTAATAAATACCTTATTAGATTTTAAACATTTCCCAGGTAGTGGATTGCATTTCCCAGACCCTATAGAGTTTGAGTTGTAGTGACCACAGGGGGCAACAGGCCCTCAACCAAGTGTTTTATAAGGGGGGGGATAATTTTGGCCCCCACAAAAAAAAAATTGATTTTGAAACTAGAAGTATTTGAAATCATATATACATATAATCAAATATCTGTAATCGATATTTTGATAACATTTCTCGTAATAATCCATCCTGACTCGCGGATATCATAGACTCACAAATCATAATGAACGAATTAATGAAAGGGCCAAACAAAAGACGTATAGAAGACTTTGAAAATGCCATTTCCGATGATTTAGAGACGCAAAATTTTCAAAATTTTTCCGCTCTGTGCCAACCATGGTAGTGCTTCGTGGGAGTCGGGAACTCTAAGTTTATCAGGCTGGCTCCCTAAGTGACGGCCAAGTTCAACCTCGTTCCCAGACTATTTGCTCTTGGGAAGCAAAGACCCTGGTCGGAGCTGGTCATGTGACCCATTGAAAATTGATAGCCCAAGAGGGGGATGGAAAAGTCTCATATTACATGTTTCCACTTCCGCACTTCGATTGCAAGGAGTGGCCGTTTTGTACAATCATTAATTCATCTTCAAGAATCATATATACCTCAAACTACTTGCTAAATTGGTTTCTGTTTGCTTTTAAATTATACAAACATGCTAAAATGCAGATTCTTATGGCAACAGAAAATTCAGGAAATCAAGCAACGAGAACATATGACTGTACGCTTTGAAATATTTTTATTTTCTCGGGGTTCGCCGGTTCGGGCGTAGTTTTATTTCACGCATACCTTTCTGTTGTGGCTCTGATATTTATAATATGCTTATAATATGCCAATGAATTGTTCTGATATGGACATGGTATAAATTTTGTTAAACAGATATCTCGAAAGCGACCGTTTATAGGTCGTAGGATTAGCGCCTTGCCGGTCTTAAACGTGACACATTTGGACACAAGCCAAATACACATTGTGAATGTCCATTCTATTGATTCTAAAACTGTTTATAGACATATTGCTCTAGATTTTTTTTTAAATGGCTATCATCGTTTATATTAAACACCAGGAAGACAAAATATAACGTACAAAATTGTTTGAAATCGACAGTGCACAGCTGACATACGACAGTTCATAACTGCAAGAATTTCCTTTTTTGTCTGCGCGAGTACCTGTTTGTTGAAGCCAAAATATTGCACAGTATCTCCTATAAATTCTATCGCCATTTACCCTCTCCCCTTAAATGCAAACGAATGACAGCCGAAAAGGTTTAGCAAAGTATTTTTTATTATATCTGGTATAAAGTGTCCTACGTTTTATCAGGGACATACATAATTCATAAACTGTATATGCACACGAAGTCTCGCTTATATTAATGAGTTTTACTGTAGCAAACCTTTTAAAGTTTCCATTCATAGATAGGTTATTTGCCTCCAGTATTGTTTGGTAAAACAGACTATTAAAACTTCTAACATGTCGATTCCAGTATACGATAAAGATTAAAGTTGATTTAAATATTGATAACTCACAGCGGCATTAATCCCATTATACAACTCTAAAGAAGCTGGATTATTCTTCAATAAAGCCCTCAATGGACAATGCCAATGTCAATGAAAGGTCTAATATTATACAGGGTGTCCCAAAAAAACCCGAAAACTATTGAAATCACCAATAACAATTTAATTGTTAGAATTTGAATGCCTTAGCGCTCTGTTGGTTCTCACGAGTGCATGAATTATTGACATAAGTAAATTTTATGCACAAAGAAACTGTTTAAGAAGCTGTTTTTAATTCCCAGGAGCAGAAAATCGCGCACTTTACCAGGAGATATTCCTAACTAAATTCTAACACATGCACCTTGTCAATATTGTACGCATCATTACGTCCAGCTGTTTGGTAGGGCATTCAAATTTAACAATAAGTGATTTCAATAGTTTTCGGTTTTTTGGGACACTCTGTACATGTTGCAAATTACTGTATATACAAAATATGAAACAATTTATATAAAGTACAATACCAGTGTCTGGTGCATATATCGTCCTAGATATTCAAGTTGTACCGCACGCACGGAAACGCATGTACGGAGTCTTGGTGTTTGTGTGATAACAGATAGCTAGCCTACACGTCGACATTATCTTTCTTGATTGTTGAGTTTCAGCAATGTAAATGAAATGAATTTTATAGCCAGTCCATAACGGGTTTTAATCCTGTGCTTTTACAGTCAGAATAGCAATATTGTTTACACATGTTGGCGATGTTTGGGAAATCAAAGACAAAGGATCCCGTTATAAAATAAATCTTTTGTTTTGAATATCGGACAGGATACACTTCAACTATAAAGAACCACATCGTTCGTTTAATACCGTTTGATCGATCAGTCTGTGTAGAAGATATGTACGTTTCTACGGCGATACGTGCTAAACTTCGCAGGCCAGGCGCGTGTGGAGTGTTTTCCTTGCAAGTGAAATATGATCCAGCTTCTCGCTTGAAATGTAACGCAACACTTATTATTGATGACATTCAGTATGGCAGGAAGTCTTGTCATGATCGGTACGAATTTAGAACAGTTCCATTTACAATCTCTTGTTGCAAATTACATTTTTATCACCCGAAATTATAACACATAAAGTTGCAATTTTCCAAACGCAACAAACAGACTACTCTCCTACCCCTCCCTGAGATCAAATTCAATTTACCCCCAACATCTGGGGGTTCACGTGACCAGCTCCGACCAGGGTCTTTGCTTCCCAAGAGCAAATAGCCTGGGAACGAGGTTGGGCCAAGTTGTGGTATCTACATAAACATACTATGCAAGTACTGTACTTAACTGAAGGTTCAGTCTATCTACAGCATAATGTAATGCTGTATATCCAAAAATCTGTTTCAGAAAATGCAGGGAATTGCAATCATAGGGGTAGAAAAAT